ACTTTATTTCTAGGTATCTTATTTTTTGTGTGTACAATGGTAAATTGGATTTTTTTTAGTTTTAGAGAGTACATTATTGGTGCATAAAAATACCATCAATTTTTGGATGGTAATTTTATATCCTGCTCTTTTCCTGAATTTATTTACTAAATCTAGTAGATTTTTGGTGGAATCCTTAAGGTTTTCTATCTACTATATTATGTAATCTGAGAATAATGAATTTTACTTCTTCCTTTTCAATTTAGATGCCTTACATTTATTCTTCTGGTCTGATTGCTGTGGCTAGTACTTTCAGTACTGTGTTGAATAAGAGTGGTAAAAGTTTATTTGTTCCTGTTTTTAAGGGAAATGCTTTTGGTTTTTGCCCATTGTTTATGATGTTGGCTATAGAACTGTCATATATGGACTTTATAATGTTGAGGTATATTTTCTCTACTTACACTTTGCTGAGTATTTTTATCATAAATGGGTGCTGGGTTTTGTCAAATGCCTTTTTTTTTGTATCTATTGATATAATCTTGTGATTTTTATCCTTCATTCTATTTTTTTTTCCATTTTTTTGTTCAGATAGAGTAGGAAGGAGAGAGAGGAAGAGAGAGAGAGAGAGAAACCTCGACATGAAAGGGACACATCGAGTGGCTGCCACCCACACAACCCAATCAGGGCCGGGGAAAAACCGCAACTGAGGTACGTGCCCTTAGCGGGAACTGAACCCAGGTCTCTCTGGACCGCAGGCTGACGCTCTAACCGCTGAGCCAAACCAGCCAGGGCTCCTTCATTCTATTTATGTGATGTATCACATTTATTGATTTGCAAATATTATACCAACCTTGCATCCCTGGAATAAATCCCACTTGGTCATGGTGTATAATCTTTTTAATGTATTGCTGGATACAATTTGCTAATATTTTGTTGAGGATTTTTGCATTTATGTTTATCAAGTATCTTCTTTCTTTCTTCTCTTTCTTTCTTCTTTCTTTCTCTTTCTTTCTTCCTTCTTTCTTTCTTTCTTCCTTCCTTCCTTCCTTCCTTCCTTCCTTCCTTCCTTCCTTCCTTCCTTCCTTCCTTCCTTTCTTCCTTGTATCTTTATCTCATTTTGGGATTAGGATAATGCTAGCCTGGTTTTAAAAAAATGGGAGTATTCCATCCTCTTGAATTTTTTGGAATAGTTTTAGGAGAATAGACTTTAATTCTTCTTTGAATGTTTGGTAAAACTTGATTGTAACTCCATCCTGTCTAGGATATTTGTTTGTTGGGGGTTTTGCTTACTACTTCCATTTCATTGGTTGCTATCAGCCTACTCAATTTTTCTGATTCTTTCTGATTGAGTTTTGGAAGATTGTATATTTCTAGGAATTTATCCATTTCACCCTGATTGTCCAGTTTGTTGGCATATAGTTGTTCATAGTATTTTCTTACACTCCTTTGTATTTCTGAGGTGTCAGTTTTTACTTCACCTCTTTCATTTCTGATTGTATTTATTTGGGACTTCTCTCTTTGTTTCTTGGTGAGTCTAGCTAGAGGCTAACCAATCTTGTTTATCTTTTCAAAGAACCATGCTTGGTTACTTTGATTTTTTTAAATTTCTTTTTTTGTCTCTGTGCCATTTATTTATGCTCTGATCTTTATTATTTCCTCCCTCATACTTCCTCTGGGGCTTACTTTCTATTCTTCTTCTAATTATTTTAATTGTAGTGTTAGATCATTTATTAGAGCTTTTTTTTTTTTTTTTTTATCCTCACCTGAGGACATTTTTCCATTTTTTGTTCAGGTAGAGTGGGGGGGGAGAGAGAGGAACAGAGAGAGAGAGAGAAACATCTATGTGAAAGGGACACATCGAGTGGCTGCCACCCGCACAACCAACCAGGGCCGGGGACAAACTGCAACCGAGGTACATGCCCCTAGCAGGAACTGAACCCGGGTCTCTCAGGACCGCAGGTGGACGCTCTAACCACTGAGCCAAACCGGCCAGGGCTATTAGAGCTTTTTATTATTCTTTTGAGGTTGGCCTGTAATGCTATGAACTTTCCTCTCAGAACTGCTTTTGCTGTGTGCTACAGATTCTGGATTTTTGTGTGTTCATTTTTGTTTTTTTCCAGGAAGTTTTTTATTTCTTCCTAGATCTTATTGGCAATCCAATCATTGTTTAATGACGTGTTATTTAGCCTACATATGTTTGAATGTTTTTGAATTTTTTTATAGTGGTTGATATCTAGTTTTATGCCATTGTGATCAAAGAGGCTTGTTATGATTTCAATCTTCTTGAACTTTATATAGACTTGTTTTGTGTGCTAACATGTGTTCTCTTTTTGATAATGCCCCATGTGCACTTAAGAAGAATATATGTTCTGCAGCTTTGGGGTGAAATGTTCTGTAAATATCAATTAAATCTATCTGATCTGGTGTGTCATGTGAAGTCTCTGCTTCCTTGTTATTTTTTATTTTTATTTTTTAGGTCTGAAAGATCTATCCTTTCTTAACAGTGGGGTGTTAAAATCTCTACCATGACTCTGTTGCTGTCAATCTCAACCTTAATATCCACCAAAAGTTTTTGTTTATAAATTTAGTTGCTCCTATATTGGGTCTATGTATGTTTATAAAGCTTATATCTTCTTGTTGGATCTATCCTTATAATATTACGTAGTAACCTTCTTTGTCTTTTGTTATGACCTTTGTTTTGATGTCTGTTTTGTCAGATATGAGTATTACTACCCCAGCCTCGTTTTTGTTTCCATTTGCATGGAATATTATTTTTTTATTCCTTCATTTTCAGCCTGTGTGAATCTTTTGTTTTGAGTTGGGTCTCTTGTAGACGGCATATATATGGGTTTTTTATCCATTCAGCTCCCCTATATCTTTTGATTGGAGCATTTAAGCCATTTACGTTTAAGGTTATTATTGATATGTACTAATATAGTACCATTTTTTTTCTTTATGCCTATGTTTCTTTCTCTTCATATTTTTTCTTCTTCTTAAAGCATTTCCTTGACCATTTCTTGCAGTGCTGGTTTGGTGGTACTGAACTCCTTTAGCCTTTTTTCTTTTCTTTCTTTCTTTCTTTTTTTTTTTTTTTTTGCCTAGGAAGTTATTTATTTTGCCTTTAATTTTAAATAATAGCCTTGCTGGATAGAGTAGTCTTGGTGTCAAATTCTTTCTTTTCATTACTTCCAGTACTTTGTGCCAATCCCTTCTGACCCGAAGTGTTTCTGTTGAAAAATCTGCTGACAGCCTTTTGGGGGCTCCCTTATAGGTAACTGCCCCTCTCTTGCTGCCTTTAAGATTCTCTCTTTGTCTTTACCCTTGGCCATTTTAATTATGATATGTCTTGGTGTGGCTCTCTTTGGGTTCATCTTGATTGAGACTCTATGCTTGCTGAAGTTGTGTGACTTTTTTTTACCAGGTTAGGGAAGTAATCTGTGATTATTTGTTCAAATAGGTCCTCTATCCCTTGCTCACTTTCTTCTCCTTCTAGTACTCCTATGATGCAGATGTTATGTTTCATGTTGTCCCAGAGTTCCCTTCTTCTTTTAATTCCTTTTTATTTTCGTTGCTCTAATTGAGAGGGGTTTTTTTTTCTGCCTTGTCTTCCAAATTGCTGATTTAATCCTCTTCTTTTTCTAGCCTATTTTTAATTTCTTCCAGTATGGTATTCTTCATTTCTGATTGGTTTTTATTCATAGAATTCATGTCCTTTTTCATGTTGATGTATTTCCTATTAGGTCCCTTGTAGCTCTCATTAAGTTCCTTGTCATACTGGCTAAGTTGTTTGAGCATCCTTATAACTATTGTTTTGAACTCTGTGTTTGATAAATTGCTAGCCTACATTTAATTTAATTATTTTTATGGATATATTTCTTCCCTTTCATTTGGGAATTGTTTCTTTGTCACCCCATTTTAGCTGTATTTTTGTGTTTGCTTCTATGTATTAGATTGAAATGCTATGACTCCAGTCTTTGTGTAGTGGCCTTATGTAATAAGTGTCTGGTGGAACCCAGTGGTGCAGTCTTCTTGATCTCTTGAGCTGGATACTATAGGAATGTCCCTTGTGTGTATTATGTATGCCTTTCTATTGTAATTGGGAACTGATTTATGTTGGCCTGTTCATGGGTGGGATTGATTTTTGCCCTGCAAAAATGAGTTTAGCAGAATAGGGCCAGCAAAAGTTGGGAGCACAAATCCAATTAGCTTTTGGATTTGGGTGTCATGGGCCCTTGACCCTTGAGAGGGGAGCTAGCTGTTTGTCTTCTAGCTCAGCAGCACCCCTCCAGAGACCCTAAAGGGAGGCTCTGAGAGGGTCACACCAGATCTCCCAGTTCTGAATTGTGTCCCCTTTCCCCTGTGAGGCTGCTCCAGCAGGAAGGTACAAGCAGTGCTTGGTGGAACACATCAAGGTCTCCCCCTCTGCTTGGGGTTGTGCTGGACTTGGGGAGGGGAGAGAGTTACTCACCACCTTCTGTCTCTGAAGTGCTCTGCCAGAGGCCCTGATGAAAGGCTTGAAGGTTTCATATCCAATGTCCAAGCTCTTAGTTGTGCCTCCTTCCCCCCAGCAGATATGAATTTAGCAGGATGGGGCTAGCAGGATTTGGGAATACAAATCCAATCTGCCTTTAATTGGGGTGGCGCAGGCCTTGGGCCCTTGGAAGGGGAGCTAGCTGCTCATCTTCTAGCCCGTTGGTACCTCTCTAGAGATCCTTAAGGGAGGCTTCAAGGCAGTTCTACCAGATATACCAGATCTGGGTTGTGTCTCCTTTCCCCTATGAGGCTGCATTTGCAGAAAGGTGCAGGTGGAGCTTGAAGGAATAGATCAAGGCTGTCCCCTCCACTTGGGGTGATACCACCCTTTAGGAAGGGAAATGCAAATTCATGCAGCCCTGTGTTGGGGATGGTGTAGGCCCTGGGCCTTTGGGAGGGCAGCTAGCTGCTTGCCTTCTAGCTTGGCAGTGCCCCACCAAGAGTATTATTTCACTAATGTTTCTAAAACATTTTTTCTTTCTTCACAGAAAGTTCTCCAATTTCCAAACCCACATCAACTCCTCAGAAACCCACCACAACAGATGTCCCAGGTACCAAACCTCCATCAACTCCTCAGAAAAGCACCACAGTAAATGTTTCAGCTACTGAAGGTTCATCAACTCCTCAGAAACCCACCACAACAGATGTTCCAGGTACCAAACCTCCATCAACTCCTCAGAAAAGCACCACAGTAAATGTTTCAGCTACTGAAGCCACATCAACTCTTCAGAAACCCATAACAGCAAATGTTTCTACAGAAGCCACATCAACTCCTCAGAAATTGATCACAGCAAAGGATTCAGCCACAATAACCAAAATATTTCCTGTATCAAATTATCTATCTGCAGAGACCCCACTAACAGCTCAGACTCCCATCATGGCAAATTCTTCTACTACACAAGACATACCAAAAACCCAAAGATTCACAACAGCAAAAGCTTCCCTTACACAGAGTCCTATAGTAACACAAAAGTTCACTACTGTACATACCCCAGTGACTAAGGGTCTGCATACAACACAAAGATTGATCTCTGCTCGTATTACAGCAACACAGGGTCCAGCTGTTGCCAAAACAACCACGTCCGTTCATTCACGTAGCACCTCTAAAGGAAGTGGAACCATTTCTGCAGGTGAGATGACACTGTTCAGGTTCTTTAATATGAATATAATGTGCTATGGTGGAAATTTCAACTTGACCAGGTGTGGGTTTATTTCTGGGCTATCTATTCTCTTCCATGGATCTATGTATCTGCTTCTATTTTAGTACCATGCTGTTTTGATTACTGTGGCCTTGTAATATATTTTGATATCAGGTAGCATGATACCACCAACTCTGTCCTTCTTTCTCAGGATTTTTTTCAGGGTCTTTTGTGGTTACACATAGATTTTTGCATTATTTATTTTAGTTCTAGCTCTGTGAAAAATGCCATTGGAATTTTGATTGGGAACTAATTTATAGATTTCTTTGAGTAGTATGGACATTTAATGATATTAATTATTCCTGTCCATGAACATTTATCTGAATATTCTTCAATTTCTTTCTTTAATGTCTTATAATTTTCTGAATACAGGTCTCTTACCTCCTTGGTTACATTTATTCCTAGGTATTTAATTTATATTTATTTTTTATGTGATCATAAATGGAATTATTTTTCTAGTTTCTCTTTCTTATAGTTCATTTTTGGTGTATGAAAATTCAACTGATTTCTGGGTATTTATTTTGTATCTTCTTTACTGAATTCATTTGTTAGTTCTAGTAGTTTTTTGGTGGAATCTTTAGGATTCTGTATATACAGTTTCATGTCATCTTCAAAGAGTTACAGTTTTACTTTTTCCTTTCCAATTTGGATGCCTTTTTAAAATTGTTTTTATTGATTTTAGAGAGAGAGGAAGGGAGAGGGAGATAGAAACATTGATGAGAGAGAAACATTGATTGGCTGCCTCCTGCATAACCCCCACTGGAAATCAAGCCCACAATCTGGGCATGTGCCCTGACTGGGAATTGAACCAGTGACCTCTTGGTGCATGGGAAGATGCTCAACCAACTGAGCTACACTGGCTGGACCAATTTTAATGCCTTTTATTTCTTCATGTCTGATTGCTATGGCTAGGACTTACTGTACCATGTTGAATAAGAGTGGTGGAAGCAAACAGCCCTGTCTTGTTCCTGGTCTTAAGAAAAACGCTTGTAGTTTTTGCCCCTTGAGTATGATGTTGGCTGTGGTTTTGTCATATATGGCCTTTATTATGTTGATTCATGTTCTCTGTATTCCCACTTTGCTGAGAGTTTTTATCTTAAATGGGTGCTGGATTTTTTTCAAATGCTTTTTCTGCATTTATTGATATGATCATGTGTTTTTTTGTTTTGTTTTGTTTTAATTCTCACCTGAGGATATTTTTCCATTTATCTTCAGATAGAGTGGGAGGGAGTGAGGGAGAGAGAGAAAGAAGGAGAGAGGAAAATATCAATGTGAGAGAGACACATCGACTGGCTGCCTTTCACATGGCAATGACCAGGGCTAGGGATGAACCACAACAGAGGTATGTGCCCTTGACCAGAATCGAACCCAAGACTCATTGGTCTGCAAGCCAACTCTCCAACTGCTGAGCCAAACCAGCCAGGACCAATCATGTGGTTTTATCCTTAATTTTATTTATGTGGTATATCATATTTATTGATTTGTGGGTAGTGTACCAACCTTACATCTCCAGGATAAAGCCCACTTGATCATGATGTATACTCTTTTTAATGTACTGCTGAATTGAGTTTGCTAATATTTTGTTGAGGATTTTTTGTATATACGTACATCAGGGATATTGGCCTATAATTTTTTTCTTTGTAATATCTTTATTTGGTTTTGGAATCAGGATAATACTGACTTTGTAAAATAATCTTGGAAGTCTTTTATTTCTTGAATTTTTGGTGTAGTTTGAGAAAGATGGGTGTTAATTCTTCTTTGAATGCTTGATAAAATTCACCTGTGGAGCCATCTGGTCCAGGACTTTTGTTTGGAATTTCTTGATTACAGCTTCGATTTTATTTGTTGTAATCAGTCTGTTCAGATGTTCTGTCTTTTTCTTGATTCAGTCTTGAAAGACTGTAAGTTTCTAGGAATTTATTCATTTCTTTCAGAGTGTCCAATGTTTTGGCATATAATTGATTCTAATATTTTCTTATAATCCCTTGAATTTCTGTGGTGTCAGTTGTCATTTCTCCTCTTTCATTTCTGATTTTATTTATTTGGGTCATTTCTCTTTTTTTCTTGGTGAATCTGATTACAGGTTTATCACTCTTGTTTATCTTTTCAAAGAACCAGGTCTTGGTTTAATTGATTTTGGGGGGGGTAATATTTATTTACACTCTGTTTTTTATTTGCACTCTAATCTTTATTATTTTCTGTCTTATGTTCACTTTGGGCTTTGTTTGTTGCTGTTTTCTAGTTCCTTTAAGTGGTGTAAGGTTAGATTGCTTATTTGAGAGTTTTCTTGTTTCTTAAGGTAGGCCTGTGATGTTATGAATTTCCCTCTGAAGTCTGCTTTTGCTGTGTCCCATAGATTTTGGGTTGCTGTTGTGTATTCATTTTCATTTGTCTCAAGGTGTCTTTTGATTTATTTTTTATCTAATTTTTAACCTAGTCATTGTTTAGTAACATGTTATTTAACTTCTATGTGTTTGTATGCTTTTCAGTTTTTTTCTTGTAATTGATTTCTAGAATCATACCATTTTGGTCAGAGAAGATTCTTGATATGATTTCAATCTTAAATTTTGTGAGGTTTGTGGATTCTAACATGGAAAATGTTGCATGTGCACTTGAAAAGAATGTATATTCTGCTGCTCTGAGGTGAAATACTCTAAAGATAATAATTAAATCTATCTGCCTAATGTGTCATTTAAGGCTACTGTTTCCTTATTGATTTTCTGTCTGGAAGATCTATCCATTGATGTTCATGGGGTGCTAAAGTCCTATACTATGACTGTATTACTGTTGATCTCTCCCTTTATGTTCATCAATAATTGTTTTATATATTTAGGTGCTCCTATGTTGGGTGACTAAATGTTTAAAAGGGTTATATTCTCTTGTTTGATTGACCCTTTATCATTATGTAATGTCCTTTGTTTCTTGTTTTAAATTTTATTGGTCTAACACGAGTATTGCTACCTCAGCTTTTATTTGTTTCTATTTGCATGCAGTATCTTTTTCCATCCCCTTACTTTGTCTGTGTATCTTTCGATCTGAAGTGGGTCTCATGTAGAAAGCATATATATGGGTCTTGTTTTCTTATCCATTCAGCTACCCTATACCTTTTCTTTTTTTTAATACTCACCAGAGGATATGTTTATTGATTTTAGTGAGAGGGGAAGGAAGAGAGAGAGAGGAACCTCAATGTGAGAGAGAAACATCAATCAGTTGCCTCCCAAACATGCCCTAACTGGGGATTGAACCCGTAACTAGGTATGGGCCCTGACCAGGAATCAAACCCACAACCTTTTGGTGTATGGGACAGCACTCCAGCCAACTGAGCCACACCATCCAGAGTTACCCTGATTTTTATTGGAGCATTTAATCCATTAACATTCAAAGTGATTATTGATAACAACATTGCTATTGTCATTTTTTTATTCATATTTATGTTGGGATAAAATTTCTTATGTGCAATTAATTTATTTTTTAAATATTATACCATTTCTTGATCTTATTAAAAATAGTAATAATAGCAATTTTTTAAAATGTGTTTTTATTGATTTTTTTTAGAGAGAGAGGAAGGGAGAAAGAGATTGGAACATTGATGCCAGAGAGATACATCAATCAGCTGCTTCCTGCATGCCCCCTGGGCATGTGCCCTTACCAGGAATTGAACCAGAACTTCTCAGTCCTTGGGATGATGCTCAATCCCTTGAGCCACACTGGCCGGGCAGTAGCTACTGCTTTTTTTTTTTTTTTTTAATGTTTTTATTGATTTTTTAGACAGAGAGATAGAAACATCAATGTGAAAGAGAAACATCAATTGGTGGCCTCCCGCACACCACCTACTGGGGATCAAGCCCACAACTTATGCATGTGCCCTGACTAGGAAACCAGGACCTCTCAGTCCATGGGAAGATGCTCAATCCACTTAGCCACACTGGCCAGGTGTACTACTTTTTGAGTGTCTATTATAGTAGCATGTTCCATACACCTTGCATTTGTTGACACTAGTCCTTGCAACAACCCTGTAAAATAAATACTTTTAGTTTCATTTTATAGATGATGATTTAGAAGCTTAGAGATTAATTTATATGGTTAATATATAATGCATAGATAATAGAAAGAAAATTAGGATTCAAACACATATTTGCTGGTTCTAAATTATATGCTTTTTCTGCTGTGTAATAATGCCTGTTCTCAATGGTACTTTGAGTAAAATCTGTTCACCCCTTAAGAGAGCAATGTACTTATTATTACAAATATATTTATCTGAAAGTAATTTTTGCAATGTCTCACTCATAGTCATTGAAAGGTTTCAATAGTAAGGTGATATAGTAATTTAAATTTTGATAGAGTCTGCTGAAAAAAACTTCAGTCTCTGACAGTTTTTTGATCATAGGTTCAGATCAGTAGTTACTTACTATTTAAATTTTTGAATTTGTTTCTTGTCATCAAGTCATATAACCAAATTTACATGGTGTTTATTTCAGTATTCAATAACTCTTTATCATATTTTATGTTTATAATATTAACTTCTTGAGTAGATATAGGCACTGGTATATATGTTATTTGATTGATTATCATGTGTAACTGTTTTCATAAATTTATTCATAATTATTTCTTTTAGTTATGGAAATATGAGTTACTTTTGCACTTTCAAGTACAGTTTATATATATTAAATTTATAGCAAATCAATGACTTTAAACATTTTTTATTTTTCTAATTCTTTTCCTTCTTTAGGAACTAGCTTCATTGCATCTGGTAAGTTTCACTCTTCTGCAGTTAAAAGAAATTGTCTTCACTGTAGAATATACAATCCATGTTTGTGGAAGAGAATACTGTCTTTTAACTGTTTTAGGAATACTATTAAAATGCGGTGTTTATGGGTGCCAAAGAGAAAACAAATAAATGTATCTTATTTACATGTCATGTGGACACCATTAGGTACTTGGTATGTTCCTAAGTACTATCAGAACCGTGTTCTTGTTCCAAAGAAATTTTAGGACAACTTCAAATCATTGGGCCAATCAATCAAGTATTATTGCATACCTATTGTTTCAATGCATCATTTTAGGGGCTGAAGAACAACAGGAAAAGACCGTTATTAATAGTTTCTATCCTTAAGTATTTTATAATTAATCAGAAACTACTTATTGACCATTTCTAGATTTCTGTCCTACCCTCAAATAAAACAAAGAATACTACCTTTGATTACATGTTCTTTTTTTTCCCTCCTTGTCAGTGATTGAAAGCAAAGTAATTTTTAAAAATATTCTGTTGCTTTAGGCATGAGATGAAAAACATATATCTGTGTTACAATTTCTTTTTGCATTTGCTCCAGTATTTTTTTGTCCATAAATATATTATTCAATGTTATGCATAACAAGAAGATTAATAAACTTTTAAAGAAGATAAGAGAAATGGTTGTTAAGAAGCAATACAGTTAAATTTGCATATTGATAAGTAACATTCATTAGAAAATACACTCTTTAAAAAAGTATATATTTTATTTTATTTTTAAATTTTTTTAATGAGGACATTTTTGCATTTATCTTCAGATAGAGCAGGAGGGAGAGAAGGAGGAAGAGAGAGAGAGAAACATTGATATGAGAGAGACACATCGACTGGCTGCCAGCCACATGACCCCAATCAGGGCCAGGGACAAACTGCAACAGAGGTACATGCCCTTAGTGGGAACCAAACCTGGGTCTCTCTGGTCAGTGGGCCAATGCTCTAACCGCTGAGCAAAACCAGCCAGGGCAGAAAGTATATATTTTAAAATTATGTCTCTATAATCTGAAGTCTCCTGTCTTATTCATGTATGAATTAGCCAAGGGACTATAAAATTGAAAACAGGTATTTAAAAATTATTTTTAAAAAAGTATTTATGATAGTTCTTTTATATTTTGAATAAACCTCTCCTAAACTAAAAGATTTGTCTTGAAAGATCCACACAGTTGAAATTCAATTTGTTTGTTCTATATTTTAAATATGAATTAATGTATTATAAATGAATGTCTTATGATTTAATGTTGACAACAGTGATGTGTTTAATACATGAGCCTTTTCTCAATTGCTCAGTGGTAATCAATAAAAATTTGAAATGCTTATAATTTTCTCTGAAATTCTTAAAGTACATAATAGTAGGCTTCTTTTAAGGTTAGTTGTAATTCCAAATTGTGCTAAAAAATAAAAAGGACCTTCTTCCCTCTTAAATCAAACATATGGCGATATTTTTATTTGTGATCATATACTTGGAAAACATAAACCTGAAAATTATCTTCATTTCTTTTTAGAGTGGAAATTTGTTTATCTTTCCTATAACTATTTTTTAATTTTTCAGTTAGAATTGATGTGTAATATTATCTTACTTTACAACCAGTGATTAGACATTATATAACTTACTAAGTGATCACCTAGATAAATCTAGTACCCATCTGACACCATACATAGTTATTACAATATTATTGACTATATTGACTATTCTGTTAACTACCAATTTGTACTTCTCAATCCCTTCAGCTTTTTTATCCATTCCTCCAATCTCCCTGCCATCTGGCAACCATCAAAATATTCTCTGTATCTATGAGTCTCTTTCTGTTCTGCTTGTTCATTTATTATTATTATTATTATTATTATTATTATTATTATTATAGATTCTACATATAAGTGAAATCATATAGCATTTGTCTTCCTTGTCTGACTTATTTCACTCAGCACAATACCCTCTACACCATGTTGTTACAGATGGCAAGATTTCATTCTTTTATATGGCTGAGTCATATTCCATTATACATATGTACTACTTCTTCTTTATTAATTCATCTATTGATGAACACATAGTTTGCTTCTATATCTTGGCTATTTTAAATAATGCTGTAATGAATATATGGATATAAGTGGGTTTTTGATTTAATGTTTTGGGTTTCTTTGGATAAATATCCAGAAATGGAATTGCTGGGTCCTTCTTTGTTTCTTGTTATATAGCCTTTGTTTTGAAGTCTATTTTGTCTGATATAACTGTTGCTAGCCCAGATTTTTTGTTTGTTTTCATTTTCATGAAATATATTTCCCTATCCCTTTACTTTCAGTCTGTGTGTGTTGTAAGGGTCTTGTTGGTCTTGTTTTGTTATCCATTCAGCCTCCATATGTCTTTTGATTAGAGCATTTAATCCATGTGCATATAAAGTAATTGTTGATAGATATGTATTTATTGCCATTTTGTTATTTATATTTTGACCCTTCTTCTTTCTTCTTTCTCTTTCCCCTTCTCCTTCCCCTCCCTCTTCGTCATGCTCTTCCTTCTCTTCTTCTTCTGGAAAATCCTTTAACATTTCTTGTAATACTGGTTTGGTGGTGGGGAACTCCTTTAGCTTTTTCTTGTCTGGGAAGCTCTTTATATATCCTTTGATTCTAAATGATTACTTTGCTGCATAGAGTAATCTTGGTTATAGGTCCTTGTTTTTCATCACTTTGGGTATTTCTTGCTATTTCTTCTGGCCTGCAAAGTTTCTGTTGAGAAAGTAACTACATCTTATGGGAGTTCCCTTATAGATAACTAACTGCTTTTCTCTTGGTGCTTTTTTCTCTCGTTGTCTCTAACCTTTTGCATTTTAATTGTAATGTGTCTTGGTGTAGGCTTCTTTGGATTCATCTTGTTTGGGACTCTGCTCTTCCTGGATTTGTATGTCTATTTCCTTCAATAGTTTAGGGAAGTTTTCCATCATTATTTTTTCACACAGGTTTTCAATGTCTCACTCTCTCTCCTCCTTCTGGCACCCCTATGATGTGAATGTTGGTATGCTTGAAGTTGTCCCAGAGGCTCCTTAAACTACCCTTATGTTTTTGGATTCCCTTTGTCTTTTTGCTATTCTGACTGGATGTTTTATGCTTCCTTATCTTTCAGATCTCTGATTTGATACTCTGCTTCATCTACTCCACTGTTGATCCCCTATAATCTATTCTTCATTTCAGTTAATGTATTCTTCATTCTTATTGTGTTTTTTTTTTTTTTTTTTTTATGTTTTCTATCTTTGTTTTTATGTTTCCTATCTCTTTGTTGAAGTTTTCACTAAGGTCATCTACTCTTTCCCTAAGTGCATCGAGGAGCTTTATAACTAATATTTTAAACTCTGAATCGGGTAGATTGTTTATCTCAATTTTACTTAGTTCTTCTTCTGGAGTTTTTTTGTTTCTTTGTTTTTGTTTTTGTTTTTCTGTTCTTTCATTTGGGAAAGTTTCTTTGTCCCCTCATTTTGGCTGCCTCCCTGCGTTCTATGTATTAAATAGAGCTGCTACATCTCTTGGGTTTGGTAGAGTAGACTTAATTAGTAGGTGTCTTGTAAGGTTTAGTGGCACAGCCTCACCAATCACCTGAACTGGCACTCCAGGTGAAACCTCCACGTGTGCTATGTATACCCTCCTATTGTAGTTGAGCCTTGATTGCTGTTGGCATCTCAATGGAAGGGATTTGCCCCTAGGCTGACTCACTATAAAGACTGCCTGAGACCACAGTGGAGAACCAGCTATGCAGGGACTGATTTTATGGAACAGGACTTACTTTAGCAGGACTCTGGTGCCCACTGAGTCTGCCTCTTGAGTGTTTCTCTTGTGGAGGTATTTGGGTGTACTTTGATGTGATCTGCAGCTGTCCACTGGGGCCCCCTAGGATGTGCAGGCCAAGGTTAGCTGCCATCTGTGCTTGCCCAGGACTACCTGGCATGAGTTACAAAGCCATCTGCAGATGGCTGCTATTTGTGCTGGGTTTAGAGGTGCCCTAGAGAGACCAAGCTGCAAACCAAGGCTGGCTGCTATTAATGCCAGGCCTGAGTCCACTTAGTGAGAGTTACAAGGTATACTGAGGACAGATGCTGCTTGTTCAAAAGATTTTAGGACAGTATGAACATAAGCAAAGGCAGGACATTTGTATGGAAAAGCCACTGGAAATGGCTTAGATGAGCCTGAAAGTTGGGTAGGGTGGGGTCTTAGTGAATCAACAGGGTGGGGTAGACAGTGTTAGCCAGGTTGATGGTAACTCAGATATGGAGCCAACCTGCCCTCTGTGTGGGAGGGCTCAGAAAAGAAACAATGGCCTCTGTCAGCACTTCTGTCTAGGAGAAAGCTGCCTCTCCAGCTCTCACTCTGATGCCAGACAATTCAGTTCCTCCCTGTATGTCCATGGTGTCTTTCAAGCTGCTGCCCTAATGATGGAGCTCTGAAGGAGTGTCTGTTAAGTCTGTGTGTAGGCCCTTTAAGAGGACCTGTCTAGGATTCCAGTAGCCCTCCAACTCCCCCAGTCACAATCTCAGCTTGTTTTCACAGCCAAAAGTTATGGGGACTTCTCTTTTTGGCACTGGAACTCTGGGATGGGGGACCTGGTGTGGGGCTTGGACCTGGTTTCTCAGGGGGGACCTCAACAGATGAGATATCCCTTCCGATTTTTAACAGCCACACAAAGAAGTCTTTGCCGCTCCTACAGGTCCTGATGTGACTTCTTATTTTAATCCTAGTTGCAGGACTTCCATTCAGTTAGGTTTCAGGTGGCTCTGAATGATAGTTGTTCTGTAGTTTCATTGTAATTTTGATGTAGTCTTTGGAGGATTTGAGTACCATATTTACTTATGCTGCCATCTTGACCAGAACCCTTAATTTCTTAAATGTATTATGTGAATCAAATCACTTTTCTTCTTTTACTTACTATTATTATTATTTAATCCTCACCTGAGGATATTCTTCTATTTATCTTCAGATAGAGTGGGAGG